ATTGTAGGGGAAAGGCATTTAAGGTAGCCTATCCACCACTGCTTAGGTTCCTAGTGGGAGTCATTATTTTGGATCTTTGTACAGTTCCCTAGTGCCGGATTTCTCTTTAAACCTATAGTGGATCCTCTATTGAATGTGTCTCTTTTCTTGCTCTCCTCTATTTGTCTCCACTGCTCAATCTTCCTGATCCCTCATGCTCTCCTCCCCCCCTCCTTTTCTCCCCTCCTCTTTCTCCTACATCCCTCCCCCTCACCCCATACTCCCCATTTGTTCTGGAGTTCTTGTCCCTTTCTGCTTCACTGGGGAACCGTGTATGTCTCTCTTATGGTCCTCCTTGTTCCTAGCTTCTCTGGAGGTGTGGATTGTAGGCTGGTAATCCTTTTCACTATGTCTAGAATCCAGATATGAGTGAGTACATACCATGTTTGTTCTTATGGAGTGCTTTATATATTTTAGAGATCAGACCTCTATCTAATGCAAGGTTGTTGAATTGTTTTTCCAATTATGTGGGCTACTGCTTAGTCTTGTTGACTGTGTCTTTTGTATTTCAGAATCTTCTCAGTTTCAGGAGGTCCAAATGCCAACAATCTTGTCTTAGAAAAAACACAAATTGAACCTGATCCAAGAACATTCTAACCCTGAACACACAATGAACAGAGGAAGCAGTCTGCATACCAGGATTTCATCTCTTATGGTTAGAATGTCCTAAGATCTATGAACTTGCCTACGCAATTGAAAGATATTCTGTACCTAAAACACTCAACACTTGGTGCCCTAAAGACAACTGAAATGATTTATAGAACAGACATTTCAGTGACTAGAATGTAGGAAATACACTATTGCTGAAAATTAAAGTTTATGTGTGTCCCCATATATGTTTTACTCTATGGACTTCCACATATGTATATGCATGGTCATCTATTATTTTCAAACATTCTATTTCCATGTAAAATTGTTTAATAATCATATGGAATATATCTTGGTTTGGATGACAATACTACCTATAAGCTAAGGTGTAACATGAAAAAATAAATGACAAGAGACTGATATTGGGGTTCAACCTTCAAACTGAATATCAGAAAAGCAAAGCAGCTGGCCACTAGCTTCTACCTCAGGCTAAATGAGCTCATTCTGTCTCCACAGCTCTCAGCAAGCCTCAAATTTTAACTTTACTTCAGCATGACAGGACAATGAATGCTCTCTGAGACATTGCTTCTCTCTTATATACTTCCCTGATGTTCATTTTAAAGGCGTGAGCTATAATACTCTTTTAGAGTGATTTACACTTGTGTAGTACTGAGTGGCCTGGGACTCACAGAGATATGTCTGTAAACCCTCACCCAAATTCTCGTATGTAGCTCCAGTGAAACTCATCATTTCACCAAATTGGACTTTGGTGGTGTCTGAGAATTGCTCTGTCATGGGTTCCCTATCTAGGGTGAGCTGACATGTGTTTCATGTCCCTAGGATGTTCTAGGCTAATTTGTTTCCTTGCTATTGTGAATAGGGTGGCAATAAACAT